TGATAAATTCCGATTCCTTACAATACAATGATGGCAGCTTGGGTAGAAAGAGAGCAAGATCCAACATTAGATCAATTATTAATGCTCACGTGGTAAAGGAAAGTTGACTACATTGCATCAGACAGAAATCAAAGTCATATACACTGCAAGAAGAACAATTCTCAACGGTGTGCAAAAAATCTTTTCTTCTTTTTTCATTGCATCAAAATGAGAGTTAGCATGCCATATTAGGGAAAGAGAATTTGACCCAAGGGAAGACGGCTCTAACAACATGTAGGAGCATCACACTACGCAGAGCACAATGTAGATACATCATTTATTCCAAACTTTAAAACACCTCACTTTCTCTAAAGTTCTGTTTTTTTGGAAGATTTACCATATTCCTTCTGATATTAAGCCAACCTACTGTTCTAAACTTTTAAAATCGGCATTTTAAGCAACTCTAACAAAACATTTTTAAAGGGGAAAATCATTTATCCATGATATTCAAACTTACTGAGTAATTACCATATAAACATATAGCTTGTGTATAGCAACATGGCATATTTGACCTTAAAACAATATGAAGGATCAATAACATTCCTCATATATTTATTGCAATGTCTGCTCTGTCATGTTCAATGAAATATTGTTGGCAACAGGCGTCACATGGTGATCCATCTTACCAGAAGCATTCTGTCAACTCTAGTAAGTGGGCATGAAATAAATACAATTCACTATAAAGGCTGCTTGTTCCTCACATTTTTTGGGTTTAGTCTGTTTTTTTTCCCTAGTCTAAAAATAAGATTTGTGACATAAGGTGAGAACTGTTTTTATTTTAAAATCTAAAAGGAAATTCCACCTGTGAAAAATCAGCACCAAATGGATAGGTAATTTGAAAGTTACATTTATCAAACAAATAACTGTGAGACACTCATCTAAGCTTTCTTTAAAAACTGACCATGAGCCAAAACATTTCAGTGTGCATCTTGAATTGCAAATGATAAAAGAAACTCCACAGCTGGTCCAGTGAATTATATATATATATATATATATATATATATATATATATATATATATATATATATATATATATATATATATATATATATAGTAATGGGAATGGGCTGAATGCACAACTTTCATTAAATTTTTTTACATGCTTTAGAGTGTTTCATATCAAGGCTATTAGAACAAAATTTGACAAAAGAGAGAGAGGAAGGTAGGGTGTGGGTGTGGGTGTGGTTGTGGGGCAGGACAGTGGGGACTTACCAAACAAAGTAGTATAGTTCTCGTCCCAGTGAATTGTAGAAAACTTTAATTCTGAAATTAAAACTGGACACCTACTCACTCACCCATTTGTCCCTAATCTACCTTTTCATCTTATTTGTTGCGGATCTTTGTGGAGGATGCCAATCATTCATGTCAACAGACCAAGAAGGACAGAATCATATTAAATGGTCACATTTTCAGTCCCTCCTATGTTATCTCTTAACTTTTTACAAAAATTTAATTCCCATTTAAACTCAAAGATACTGTTGAATATACACACAGAGTCAGTGGCTATACTATTTTACAATGACAAATTGCACAGCCCTAACCACCAATTATAAATACATAATAACTTTAATCAAAATTTACATCTTAATTAAATCAAGATTGTAACCTCGTTCATAAACAGCAAGAGGTCTTATAAAGTACTTCCCACTAAATTATAGTACAGTGTACAACAAGCAAAGTACTAGTAAATAAAATAATTCAGTTTTCAGTTTTTCATCTTTAGGTGCCACTACGAATCGTCCTCTGCTGTGGGCGTATTTTTTGCATTGTCTTTAAAATCTGGTACTGGTAATTTTTTAATTCCACTACTAGATGGCACTGCTGATGTTGCTGTGTGTTTTACTTCTTTTTCAGACTTGGCCTCACTATGAGCACCTGTAGTGTCCTTGACATCTGGTGACTTTTCGTGAACTTTGACCTCTTGAAGCTCTGTGCTTTCCTTAGTAGGAGATTCATCCTCCATCGAGGGCCAGCTTGTTTGACTTTCTACTTTTCCCATTCTTTCATTTAGAGCTTTTAGGGCCACTTGTCTATAAAGCAACGAGGAAAAGGTCAGGCAAATCTCAGAACAAAAAATATATTTGTAGTGCTATAAAAATGTTGTGAACAAAAGTATGGCAACTCAAGGCAATTCGCAATGAAACAGTAAATATCACATCAAAACGTTACTTGTACTCACCATGTAAAAGTGGTTCAATATCTATTTTGGATGAATTATTTGGTGCCCAATTTTTAATGGTTCAGAATACATTAGCACTTGACTTTATCAGTAATTAAATAATCTTTCTTACAATCTCAGAGTTGCCCTTGTACCATAACAAACTGCATCCATACTTCAGGGATAGAGAGGGTTAACTGAATTTAATTTGATCATGTGTATTAAATTTCTAAGGAGTAAAGAAAAAAAAAACACCCACCTCCTCCTCTCTGCGTCTTGTGGGTCTGTCCCAGGCAGGCTGATTGTAATTGTAGTAGGTGAGCTGACATCATACCTCCTCTCTGGCTTCTTGCACACTTTGACCTTCACCAAGAAACTGAAGATTGTGTTAGAGGCGACTCCCACAACCGGCTGGACTGGGGAGGGCCAAAAACTACAACAATAAACCAAAAAATAATCACTGCATCTAAAATCTACAAATCATAGATGGATTATGAAAAAGAAAAAAAAGTCAGAAAAGGTCCATACTTATCCAAATTTGATCTACTGTAGGTTATTTGCCGTTTCTGAGGCTAGGTCGACTAGGGGGTAAAAAAGTTCTCCATTCTGAAAAGGTCCCACCTATGAAATTCCTATCTCCAGGCCAGAGACTGAAAGTTGTTCTTAACTTTTAAACCAGAATGTCAGTTAACTTCAAGTCAGGATATATACACATTGTAGTCCACTTAAATTAATTACAGTGCCTGCTAAATATCAAAAAAGAAATTGCTAATGTTTATTAAGCAGTTTTGGCCCAACATACAACATTTACTTTAATTTTCCTTAGTAGACTACAATTATACCAATTCCTGTTATGTAAGGTCAAACTAGACTAAATACCTCAGTACTACACTCAAATGACATGCACGCAGCTTATTTATCATTAAAACATGAGATTACATTATTGATACGTAGTATGCCAGCAGAACTGATTATGAAAAAATATGCTGGTATATAATATTAGTTGACTGACTGTGGCTACAGGAGACAAAATTCTCAACATGAATCTTTCACAAAGGATAAAACCTTATCTGCAGTTCAGAGCCTATAAATCTCTAGTGAAACATGCCTTAAGTCTTTTCCTGATGCTTTTAACTACGTGATGCAATAGGCATGAGGCCTTGATATAGCAAAAGATATCAATTCCCAGGAATTTTCCCTTTATTTCCCAAGGTACATCTTTTTCAAATCCGCTGTCAAATTCATGATCTTTTAAAGTTTTAGCATCACAGATAAACATTCAGCACTCTCTATCTCTATTAAAAGAATAACTCCTTCTTTAAACTGTTATTGTAAAGACCTTATGACACTGTTGATATTGAGGAGATACGCTATTGATAAAAATCTTCTTAAGAAAAATGTGTAATAACACTTTGTAACCCCACCTAGGGCCAATTGCCACACATTTTTTCAGCCTTGCATGATGTCACGCAGGACCATCAACCTCATTTAAGGCTATCACCCATTACTCCATTTCAATATGAATGCATCACAGTTGAAGTGATACTGGATAAAATACCACATTTTGTATGATCCACGACCAAATGACAAGCCTGAAGTGAGGATTTTTTCTACTGTACACACACATACCTAGCAAACGAAAAATTATCAGCCATGTCTCCTCTAGTCCCCTTCCCATGGCTCTGATAGAACCTCAGGTAAATCCAACTGGTGAGCAAGCCTGCAGTGTACATTATGGGGTATGGTCCCTCGAGGGCACCAGCCACTCGCAGTATAACAGTCACTACCAGAAGGAGAACAGGAATGTGGTTGTTACGCAGCTTCCCAAAGGGCGACAAGAACAGCACATGGTCCGGCATCATCTGTTTGACAGCGACGGTGAATCCACCGATGAAACCGGCCAGGCCGTGGATGTATGTCTCGAATAAAAAATCCGGCTGTCGACTTGCCAGATAGACGATGATGTAAACAAGGGAAGATATTAGAGCGGTCCCCACGTTCACAACCATGAAAAATATTAGCAGCTCCAGCGCTCCCCACAGTGGCTCCAATAGTTTCCCACAGAGAAAAACGACGGCGATGTCTATTAGGACATGCCAAATGTGAAACTGAACAAAACAGTGAGTTAGAAAAGTCCAAACCCAGAAATTGGGTGGCAATACATAACCCGGCGTGACTGTAATATAGGGAATGACATTTGATGCAAACGACAGTAAATACCCTACGAATAACGCTCCGCATACGCTTTTAACAACCACGCTGCTTCCTCCTAAAGCCTCGGAAAATTGTTGTTTTACGTAGGGGGCATTTCTTCTCACTATGGAAGCTGCCATCTTGGATCTCCACTTGGCACTGACGTCATTTGACCTAATTTGTTCCAGGTATAATTTTGGGGAGAGAATAAAATAGAAGTATTATGTTGATGTATACGTCAAAAGTGCCACAGACGCAGTGCAAATATAATAAATTTCATCATACAAGACTCTTCTTGACAACTAGAAATATAAAATTTTCAGTTATTTCATTTTATCAAATTTTTTTTTTTCATGTAACTTTTCATTCTTTATCTCAGCTTGTTCCCCGAAAAACACGACGACCTAGTTTAAAACATGGCGCAAACCCCAGAGAGAACAGTGATGTTTTCGGCATGTTTTTATTGAGGTGCAGATTATGTGACCAGTTTTTATTGGTAAAATACACAGGTGGTTGCAGATTAATTTTATAACAATCTATATTGTTGTCTTTTATTTTCCACTCTCATACAGTACACCGATAACCGTGGAAAAAAATTTACTGTAATCAGCATTTATTTACTGCAAATTGCAATGTGTATCGTTGTCAATTTCACCATGCACCCCCTTCCTCTGACACCAGCTTTAACTTGAAATGAATATGCATTAAGTTTTAGCTGAAAGACGTACCGTTTAAAGTAGGCTGGTTGTTGTGCATTTCAGCATTTATCAGAGATCGAGGGCGTCATAATTTAGGAGAGGATGGATTTCTTCGAAGCTGTGGTAGATGAAATTGCACTGGAAGGTTTAGATGGTAAGGCTGAAGACTTAGAACTATTAGATGATACTACTACTACTACTGTGCATCAGCATTAAAAAATGTGGGATAGATACAATAGCTTCAAGGATGTTTTTTGTTTGTTTGAATTTCCTGACTATGAAATATTGCTCAGTGTCTCCAGACGTATTCTGTTCACTGTATGACTTTCTTAACAAATTACAGGTATAACAATAGCAACACTATGGTTACGTCTAGAAGATCGGCGACCAAAGTTTCCATTTTCATTGGACAATACCTGTAAGCAGTTCCTATGGAATCGAATATCTGTGCACCCAGATTTGAAGTTCTACGAGCTGCCAGAAGAGAGGCCTACTGTGGTGATATGGGACCGATGGAGCAGTGTGGAGAAGGATTCTGAAATATGTGTACAGCAGGTAGGTTGCAGAATGGCAAGTAGTTATATCGTGATTAAATTCTGAACAAGGATTTTCCTCGTATGTTGATGCAAGTCCTACCTCTCTCTCTCTCTCTCTCTCTCTCTCTCTCTCTCTCTCTCTCTCACACACACATGCGCACGCACATACACAAATGCATACACACCAATTAGGACTGCATCACATTGTATAGGTTTAATGAAACCCATGCTTTCTTTTCTCTCTCTCTCTCTGCAGAAATTTGTTGGCAGTGTGGCCCCCATTACTCCTTTCCTTTTTTTTAGTCACTAGAAGAGGTGGATCCCTATCCAGTACAGATAATAGACAAGGGTGGAATACAGGGCTCCTGCTCCACGTTCACTACTAGAACTGATATCACTTTTGAAATACGAGATGATGAAAAAAGTCTGTGTACATTGGAAAAAGCCATAGAAAGGTATAGTAATATTTATAGAATCATTTTGACACTCAAGTAATTTTGCACCCTGTTCTGCTCAGGAACAAACGAAATGAAATTTCAAGTGCTCTATTTATTTGAATCTAGAATAGCATATGTTGTTAATGATTAGTGTTTTTGATTCTCCAGTTTGAAGTGCTTTTGACAGAAGTAGGGCACTAGTGTCACTGTTATGGGGCCTTTTTTTTCACAAATTTTTCAGATAGCTGCACATTTTATTATTTCATTTTATCCATGTTAAGATCTATATATATATGTATAGTAATATATACTAGTAGATTAACTGTAAAATTCAACTTCTAAGCTTACATGTGTATAACAAGTACGTGTTTTAATGTAATGTAATGTCTATCACACAGATGGGGAAACAAGTTGGTGATTGTTGCGTCTCAAGAGATTAGAATTGCGGCCTTGTTTGGAGCGGAGCATGATCCCAATTGGGAGTTTGTCAATGCACAGTACTGTCTTCTAGAGAGAATAGGACGGTAAGTGGGTTGATGATGTAAAATGTATAATATCAGTTGGTGAATTTCTATCAAAGTATTTCTTATTGAAAAGGGTCAGAAAAAGAATCATCACATTAAATTCTAGATGATCTTTGAAAATGCTTATCACCTTCGAAAAATTTATATTTTCAAGATGATTTCTCGTTGGGTGAAGGAGTTGAGCCTGTAACCTGAACACTAGTCCCATAACAAGTGGCAGTATAATTGAAGTCGGGCAAGTGTAGAATTTGGCCAAGTTGGCCTCTTTTTCTAATTTGGGCCAGTAGATTTTTATCCCTTGGGTCAGTAGGCTTAAAATTTTTTGACACAGACTGGTAGTACACATTGATGATAGTTGAGTCTTGTTCTTGTCTTGGCTCAGGTCACGTTGGAACGGTGCTGCCACCATTGGGACCCAGAACTTACTGCAGGTGTTCAGGGGAGCCTCAGGTCACCTGTATTATGTCCGCAAGAGTTTACTGAGGCATGGTTTTATTATGAGACAGGTGAGTTAAGGTGTGTGTGTGTGTGTGTGTGTGTGTGTGTGTGTGTGCACCCTTTCATATGATGCAAGTACAGATATTTTAATGATTATTGTTTCTGCTGGCGTTTTCAGAGATGTGGTTCATTTTGAGATGTGCATTTGTGTGTGCGTGTGTGTGTGTGTGTGTGTGAGCAGTGTATGCAATGGAACCTAATGATTAGTAATATTGTGAAACATTCAAATGGAGACAAACCATTTGTACAAATAGAACACATGATGAAAAAAGTTCATTGAATGGCTGAATGGTTTTGCATGGGTATCTTAAAAAAACACAGGGCATAGAAACGTATATAATTTAATATTTTTAAATTTAATTTACCATTTTAAGGGCTATCTGGAAAAATGCCCTGGAGGCCGTATTAACAATGGCCGCCTGTTCCACTTGAAGAGATTTTACCAACTACACAAACCCAGGTCTCAGGTTATCTTGGAGAGTGCTGCAGCCTACCTGGAGGCTAAACCAGGGAATTGGGAGGTCACCTCAGTACTCATTGAGAAATTGGTTTGTATTTTTTTATTTTCTATAATAATGATAAATATTATGATGATAATGATTATAATGATTTCAAAACATATCAGTAAGTATAATGTATATATTTAAACCTAAAAACCAAAGACTAAAGTCTCTTATAATGTTTTATCATTTAATTAATAAAATGCTCTGTATCATTTGAAATAAAGGGTCTCCTGAAAACTTTCAGAATTTGGATGAAGCTGGAACCAGAACCTTTTGGAAATTTTGCAGTAACTACATCAAATCAAAACTCGTACCTTACCGTGATGTTTATCCTGAAGCCACGGAAGAAGAATACATGGCCAAAAATAAAATGTAAGAGTCTCAATACTTTTAACCAACTTTTATGTGGTCACATTTATGATATTTTATTTTTTTGTTTCAGATGGAACTGGCACCCATAACGACCAGTTATAGTTTTAGCAGCATGTTTTGATGTCTCCAACCCTGAAACTCTCTTCCTGTCTTTCTTGTAACTGTTACATGACTCCCATTTACTCTCTTAACACCCTATTCATATATCAATCTTCGTACTTTTTTCAAGCAATATAAGATTTCGTGGGACATACAAAATTGTTAATTTCTTAAAATTAGACATTTTTTTATAACTTTTAATCAGTGTGACACAGGGAAACTGCAAAGTTACACAAGTCTGCTGCTAGCTAGAGGGACATATAGCCTGTTTGTGGGATATGATATTCCAATTTAAATTTAGGTCCACCCCTTGTGCGAAAAAAGTTAACCAGTAACTGCTTAATAAAATAATTTGGATTAAGATAAGGAAATTTTTAAAACACATATTAGTTTTTATCTGTATTAAATCATATTATTTATTAAGTATTATTAAGTATTTTACTATTAGGTTATCAATATATTGTTGTTGACACATATTGTAAATGATACAGTACCTATATATAAATATATATTGCAAATGACTGAGTGTCTCTTTGTGAGTGAGTGAGTGAGTGAGTGAGAGAGTGAGTGAGAGTGATTTTTATTTAGTTAGTTATCAACTTTGTATTTTTTTGTTGAGATCTGTATTTTTGAGATATGCAAAAAAAAAAAAAGATAGAGAAATTTTTACTAATATGTTTCAGGGTGGAGAAGTCTGTGAGGATCTACACCCTGGTGAAACCCCTGAAGGTGGAGGAAGAGGAGGAAGATGATGTAGAGGAACCAGAAGTTGAAGGTAATATGTTTTAGGTGAAAATAGCATGTTTGTTTTCCTGAAGGGTTGATGTTATTCTTATGTGGTATATTATTGTTTGTAACTTTATTCGCATGAATTTCTGTTTTGTACTGTACATAACCACTGTTTCACAATTTTTAGAATATGTAGTGCATTTGCCAACAATAGAATATTTATTTTACTAAGGTCCATTTTACATTCAATGGTACAGTTTTTTTTTTTTATTCAACAAGTTTGACAACTTAATAGCCTGGTTGTTGCATATGAGAGACACCTAAAAAGAGCCAGTTTACCAGATAATAAAAAAAAATGGGAGCATGAAAAATGGAGTAAAAAAAAAAAAGATTGATTCCTGTGAGAGAGAGAGAGAGAGAGAGAGAGAGAGAGAGAGAGAATCATCCATAGTGTGTTCATGTGTTCGGGTCAAAGCAACACAGAAAACTGTACCATGTGATGTGAACAAGTTCTTGCTCTAATCATAGGACATCTACTCTGCTCCTCTTCCAGCTTCAGCAACACAACTCTCCCCACTGGCTGAGGAAGTTCTGGAGAGATCAATGCTTCATATAGCCTACAGACTGATCCTGTCCAGGGGCTTGGAAGGCATCAGTGTTAAACAGGTGTCCAGTGAGCTAGGAATTCCACAAATTGAGGCCAGGGCTCTCCTTAAAGCCCTCGTGAAAAAGGAGGTAAGATAACTGCCGTCACTCCTACAAAATTAAATTGTTTTTAAATCAAATTACAGCTAGTGCAAATAAAACTACTGTGATTGCTTCAGCATGTTTTGTTCATGTCAGATGAGAGTAAAGGATTCAGCGTATTGAAATAGATGTAGTCTAATTTTGATTAGTGATTTTTACACCAAGGCAACGGCAAATTAGCTCTCTCCATTTGCAATTGAAACCCGGATGCCAGTGAGATCCTAAATGATTTAATAACTTTTATCTAATCTTAGTTCAAAATTTATTATAACTAATTTGAAATGGATTATAATTATGAGGATAATTTAAATTTTTTTTCAGCTCATCTTTGGCTATTTTGTTGAAGTTCAGAAAACCAAGAAGAATATGTGAGTACTACTGACTTGGCAATAGACTTGCTTTTTGACACATATCCTTAAATAACCAGACATTTGAGTCTGTCCAAAATATAGAAATCTTTTACTATTCTTTTGGTCTCAAAGAGAGGTGAATTTTACAGTAATGCTCTGTGTCTCGTCCTTCTAAATGAACACTTTATCTGAAGTGACAAATACGAATAAAAAGGACAAACAGTATTGTTTCAAAATTTGGCAGATGAAGGCTGCATTTGTTGTAACGCCCCTCTCTTAAAAGAAATATAGATTTACAATTAACAATGAATAATATTGAATGGTACCATTCATGTAATGATTAGGCCTGAAAAATTAGATCCATAAAATTTTCAAACAAAGTGCATATTTATATTTGTGGGTTTCCAAACTGGCCTCAAATTTCCCTTTGCTGTAATGTGTCTTTTTTATAGGTTTGTTTCAAATGTCTATAAAGAACAGTATCATGAGCAGAAAAAGCTGAAAACTGCTGTTAAATATGAACCACCTGACGAAGAAGGGAGTAAAGGTATGGAATTAAAGGTGTTTGAGAGACCAATGTCAAGAAAATTAATTGTACCGCCAGCGTTAGCGCTGGCGGTACACATGGTTTCGGTCTCGTCCGGATCGTTCCGCCGGCCCCGCCGGCTCCGCCGGATGGCTACCGTTACCGCTTCTCCTAGACGGTAAGGGCCTCCGTACCCATCTCTTGGATTTAGGTCACCTATA